ATGCCGCTCAGACTGGGATTTACTCGGGCCACACTCTTACGGCATTAGACCCACTGGCGCCAAATGAGCTACCACCGGGCATGGAGAAAGACCTGTCTTATCTCCTTCGTTACGACGTCTATCATTCCCTGTCACAAATTGATATTCCACATCCACTGCGCTCGGAGTTCGTCACGCCAGCCCCTGATGAACCACTGAGCTCATCCTTGGGCAAAGTTGAGAAATTGTTGGCTGAGGGCCACTTCCTACTTGCCGCTTATCTATGCGGAACCATCCTGACTTCTCGTTCTCTCTCGCCGACTGATACCAAGCTGATCTTTGGACTTTTCTATACACGACTAGCATGTCTGGAACTGTCTGGAAATGCTATTCTAGCGGCGCAAGAATCAAAGGCCCTTGAAGACTTGACTTCGGCCTTTTATTACGTTGACTTCAACCCAGACGCATCCGCGAAAGAAACCCCTCAAAAACCGTCAGTTCATGCCCGTCATATCGTACCATGGCCATTGCGAGTTCTAGCAGTGAGGCTCCAGAGCATCGGGTTCGGTGATTCTCGCCGAGGCATTGGCGGCCTGTACGAACTTGGCCTCGAGGCGCGAAGGGAAATCATGCGAACCGACTTAACGCAATCGGAGCGAGAAATCTGGAGGGATAGATTGGCTGATCTCGGGATCAGAAGCGTGAATGCCTTGATCGAAATGGGGGATCTTGGTGCCGCAAGGAGATCACTGCACAGCCTGAAAATATCAAACGCGGAAGCCGCAATAAACAAGTCAAAAAAAGTGCTTCTCTTGTTGATGATTGGCGACATTGACGCTGCAAAGAAAGTGTACGAGGAAGCAGGTATGCCCAACGAGAGTATCCTTAAACCGCTCCTCAGCATGGCGGAGGGCCAGTACAACGATGCAGTGGGCGAATGGAGGGCACTTCTCGAGAGCGGCGAAGAGAATAATGATAAAGCCTTGATTTCCCAGAATCTGGCCGTCTGTTTATTATATACAGGACAGCTGAATGAGGTGAGTCGATACATTTCCGGTCCGATATATTAAAGCTGACGCTTACTCACAGGCTCGTCAAATTCTGGAGTCGTTGGTTGCTGCTAACCATTCGTTTGGAAGCTTGGTCTTCAATCTGTCCACAGTCTACGAGCTTTGCTCCGACAAGGCTGGTATTCTCAAGACCAGTCTTGCCGAGTCTGTTGCCAAGCAGCCTATCTCAGGTGATCTCAATCTCGATCGGCCAAGTGCGGATTTCAAGTTATGAGATTGATGCATTCTAAAAGGACCATGGATGTCCTGCACTTGGAGGGATAGTAGAACACTATTTCTCTCGAACGCTATCTAGAGTCTAACCTGCTAATGATGAATGATCCAACGAGACGTCTGACGCTCATGCTGTCTCATGCCAACCCCAAACAAAACGCCATGATCGTGCAATGCCTCAAATGCTCACGTTGACACCGGAGCGTGGGAACAATCGTTATGAATGAATGAATCAATGAACCAACGCCTTTTCACGCGCTGTTCTTAACTGGTGCCACTCTGGGTTTAGGTTTCCGAATGACTACCTTATCACCTTCTAGCTGCCAACCCAAGCGTTCTTTCTCCACCAATTTCTCCCAAGTCCACTGTCTCCCATCTCCTGTACAGCCTTGGACAATCCAACTCACGTTGACGTTGAGATAAGCACTGCCGACGGCTTTCAGCGCATGCCTCCGGACACGGTCCTCAGCCCAATTGATCACAGCCCGCGTAGGTGCATCCACCTCGTTTCGGACTTGCCAAAAGGCAATCCAATTGTCATGCATCAGCGCCGCCAAAACACGGTCAACTACGTCCGACTTAAAGGCGTACTGAGTACGCGCGCGTGCACGCAGCTCGAAGGCAGAAACCATATCCCACTGCCGGCACGCATAGTCGAGGATCAAATATGATATGATGTCTTTCAGTTCCGAGTCGGGTAAAGGGTGAGAGGGTGAATGTAATGTTTCAAGAAGATAACGGAGAGAAGGGAAATATGAAGGTGGATGCTGAGCGCGGACGGAAACTGTGACCGAAAATACATGGACCTGCTGCTGGAAAGACACGGGCACTGAGGACGCGGTGGCTAGCACGGCTTCCCGGAGCTTGCGGAGAGACAACAGAAGGGTGGATAATTCCGTAGCCGGCGGAGGGCTAGTTTGTCTGGACTTGTTGCTAGGCAGCTGGAGGCGAGACGCGGGTGGGTTTCTTGTCGCGTCTGCGGAAGCACTGGTAGGAAGGGATGCGAAAGCCTCAATCAGATTCCCAGCATGCCGAGCACAAAACTCCATCCATCGACTCTTGATGCGCTCAAAATATTTCTTTTGTTCCTTGTGATCTAGGAGCCTGCGAGGGATCAGCTCAATGAACAACTTTCCGCCCGACGTGTCCTTCCGATCTCCTCATTGGACTTAATGAGCACATACAGCCGATCACCTTTGGACACAAATCCAACCACCTCAAGAGGATCCCTGTCCTTCAGAGGCTTTAAGCGGCTTTCGGAGAATCGAGCCGAACGTGCTGCGGGACCCGCCATGGCTGGCAATGTGCCGTAAGGAAGAGCGGGATGGTGAATTGCGTCATGAGGGGAGATAACAGCTTTATCGCTGTCGTCTGTCTAAGGTAGTGTGATCATGGATCGTCAACTCGTGGAAGGAATTACTCCACTGGCCTGACCGCTTGTTTGATTTGTTTGCTTGGTTTTGCCTGTTTGCTTTGAGTGGGACGCCGAGGTTCCTTTTTTCCCCAACAGGACAATTCCAAGTGATTCCCAACGGTCTATTTAAATAAGGAACGTTTCAACAGCTGCTCCTGTCTTGAAATTTACTACTCATCCATACTTGCCATCCTCTCAACTGATTTGTGGTTCTTCAATTCGTAGTTATGGTGACAAACTTGTGTTGACCTGCCCAAGCCTTTCCCACCACCCGCTCCTATACTTCTGCATGTGAAGAAACATGTCTGCTCGCCAACGTCGTCCCCAAAATGGATCGAATTCGTCTCAGCCTGCTGCTGTAGCTGCTGCAGTTCTCGAGAAGCCGCCCCGGGTCGTGAAGAAACTTCTTCATTGGGACGACCTGCCGCATTGGCAACGTGATAATCACCATATCCAGACGGGATACCGACCAGCCTCGTCCTCGCTTCTCGTGTCCTTTCAATCTCTTACATACCTCCACAACGAAACAATCAACATCTATACTCATCTTCTGCCATCACTGCTGTCTATTCCCGCTGCGTACTTACTGTACCAAGAGCTTGTTCCTCGCTATGGGACTGCCACAAGGGAAGATATCATCGCCTTTGGTTGCTTCTTTGCAGGAGCTGCCTTTTGCTTGGGAATGTCGGCAACATATCATACCATTTCCAACCACTCCCCGCTAGTCGCTCGCATAGGAAATACATTTGACTATGTCGGTATCGTTGGCCTTATTGTGGGAAGTTTCGTGCCAAGCGTCTACTATGGCTTCTACTGCGTTCCAGCCCTCCAAAGGCTGTACTGGACGATGATCTGCAGTATTGGTCTTGGCTGCGTTATTGTCTCGGTTCTCCCCAAGTTCCGAACGCCTCAGTGGCGGCCTTTCCGCGCAGCCATGTTTGTCGGCATGGGTCTGTCAGCGGTGTTTCCGGTGATCCACGGGTTGCAAATGTTTGGGATCGACCAGATGACACGCCAGATTGGACTCGGGTGGCTTCTTCTTCAGGGGTTCCTTTATATCTTGGGGGCTTCAATCTATGCAGCTCGAGTTCCCGAACGCCTGCGGCCGGGCAAGTTCGACATATTGGGAAGCTCTCACCAGATCTTCCACGTACTAGTGGTTTGCGCTGCTGTGGCTCATTTGACTGGCTTACTCAAAGCATTCGACTACCGACATAGTGGGGTTGCAGGAAACTGTGCGTTAGAGTCCAACTGACGTTGTGATTCGCCGCCAAAACTGATAGGATCACATGCGCAATGCATTACTCTTGAACAACATGTTTCGGTTGACATATGTAGCCATTAACCGTATCAGTAGAGGAGATAATTGACGCGTGCTGGTGTTGGCTTCTCGCCGACGACAAGAGTTTCTGTCCAACAAACTCCACCCCTTGCTGACAGTTGGGGCATGCGGGAGCTCTTCCACCATGTGAATTGGCAAACTCAAAATGCCCTGCAAGCATACAAGATGTTTCTGGAAGCATCACCTGGCTTCCATCAAGAATGGATTTGGCATGCTCACCGCTTGCTTCCCGGCCACTCGAGCTGGACAGACGAATAGAAAGCCGTACATAGAAATCTCCAGCTCACATGGCATGGCTGTCATGCATGTCGGTGATCATCTCACTCTGAACGACAGCAAAGTCATTGGACACTGTGACTGACGGCACCAATGGCTCAGCTCAGCAGATGGCGGCTTCACTGGGTAGAGTTTAATTACCATCGTCTCATCATCGCACCACTGTGCCTATTGACGATGTTGCATCGAGGCTGCCCTCTTCAGGCCGCCATTGCCAGGTGAGAATGATCGCCGCTTAAAATCTCCCACCCTTAGCAAATCAGGTGGCAGCCAAGTCATTCGGCAACTGCCCCTTTGGGATCAGCTTAGTCTGGGCCTGTGGGACTACAGTAAGGACTGGTGACGATTGTTGGTCGCTCTTATGCGTGGGGGATCAGATGGAGCATTTGGGTTTCACAGCGGCTGACTTCGTATGCGGTTGCCGTCGGTTAGGGAATCCTGATACGGACAATGACTCTTGAGTTCTGCATTCCAGTTATATAAGAGTGGGGTTGGTTGGTTGAAGTCACCGTCTAAGGGTATTCTGCCTTCCTATCGCATCAGCGAGGTTGCTTTAGATGCTTGCCAGGGCTGACCAGCACTGGATCGCTTATCCGGCGTGGGTCTCCTCACATAAGATATATGTTTCATAAGCCGGCAGGAATAGGTCAAATAAGTATCCCCCAACGGACAAATCGGCTTGCCTTTGGATCCAATCCACACACAGATGTATGCAGGACCCGATCAACCTTCCGGCCACAGTGGAGACACACCCCGACTCCGGGCCGCTTGCGAGAACTGCAGACAATCAAAGGTGAAATGCAATCTTTCTGGAAAGAGTACCTGCATCCGGTGTCTTCGTCACGGGCTGCCTTGTCGATATCGACTCGCCAATCGGTCAGGAAAACCCAAGGGCAGCAAGAACAGAGCCACGTTGAAGAAGCTGGGACAACTGCCGGACGAGAAGCCTATAATGCGTGCCTTGAAGGGAAAGCACAACCCGGACACCGTCATGGACAACCAGAGTCACTCGATATGTGAAAGGTCCCGAGTGCTTCAGAGCCATGAGGAAAACGTGTGTTGCGATCCGTGAATCGGTTGGATAGAATGCTAACAAACATGGCACAGTTCCACGAGAGCCCTAGCAGCCAGGACACCGACCTCACGGTGGACGCCTCCACCTCCATCTCCGCGTTTGCGTATTCTTCCTTCCAAGAACCGCTGCCATCTGCAGATCCGGTATATATGCAAGCCTCCATGTCACCGACATTTCTTCAAAAGGAGTTCATCACCAAAGGCCTCACGAGCTGTCCCCTCGCAGTCCACATCCCTGACGCACCGCAACCGATGTGTGGATGTGGAGGAACAGTGGTGTTTCACATGAACCAGCTGAGGGATATGATGGCCAACGCCGGCCACCTGCGATTTGATCAGATTCTGCAGGGGATCAAGGTGGCACTGTCCGTATGCCAAGGTTTCCTGCAATGCAGAAATTGCCCAAAGGACAGCACTAGTCTGCTGTTGCCTATCTCTACGGTAGACTTTACACTGCAAATATTCGAATACTGGATATCGTATGGGCTGGCGGCGCAGCATTCAGTGGGAGTCGACAGTGCAAAGTCCAAATATGGAGATTATGAATTATGTTCTGAGGAAAGTTGGTGGATCAGTCGCTTCCTGCTCCGTGCGCGACTCGTCCAGTGCAAGGAGGTGTTTGCTGTACTGCAGGAAGCGATCGATGTCTGCCTCGGATCGCCGTCTGGTCATCTCAGGCAAGGGCTGTACGATGAGAACCGCGGAGGCAGCTGTCTCGATCAGATTCTTCGGGGTTACGAAGCAACTGTGGAAGCTTTTTTGCGTTGTTTATCGGGGAATGATGTATGTCCTACTTGATTATATACCATCCATAGTTACCTTGACGAAATACTGTTGCTGTGATGTAGTAGTTCCAATAAGCAGTGACGGCTCTCGGCTTTGACGGGCCTCGGCAACCCAGCCGCTATACTTATAGTTGGAGAGGAGAGCCCCCTCACGCGTAAATATAAGTCTACCAGCACCTCATTTGTATTTCAGAAACAGCACCTGCTTGCAATTCAATTCATATACAAAGTAGAATTTGAAAACAAGATGGCCGCCCGTCTCGCCCAGGTCAACGCCCACCTCAACTACCCAGCCGGCCTCCTCGCAGGCAAAGTCGCCATCATCACCGGCTCAGGCCAGGGCATCGGCGCCGAAGCAGCCCGGCTCTTCGCCAACGAAGGCGCAAAAGTCATCGTCGCTGATATCGACGCTGGTCCGTCCCCTCATCTACTCTCAACTGAATCTGAAGCCTAACACCCCACAGAAAAAGCCACCGCAGTCGCCAACGCCATCAACTCCGCCGGCGCCGGGCGCGCCCTCGCCGTCGTCGGCGATATCCTCGACGACGCCTACATCACGACCCTCGTCTCCAAGGCGGCCGAGTTCGGCCACGGGAAGATCCATATCCTCGTGAACAATGCGGGGTTTACCTGGGACGGAGTGATCCACAAGGTAATTTGCATCCTCCCTTTTGTCTTTTGAAACTAGTTACGAAATGTTCCAGTAGATGACCGACAAACAATGGGACACGATGCTGGCGGTGCACAACACGGCGCCGTTCAAGCTGATTCGGGCCGCGGCGCCGTATTTCCGGGTGAAGGATGGGGAGGACCGGGTGGTTATCAATATTAGCTCTACGAGTGGGATTCATGGGAATGCGTACGTTGGCCGTTGAACCTAGGGATATGGTACCTATGGTATAGTTGTGCTGTGCTGATGGTGCTACAGAGGACAGGCCAATTACGCGCTCGCCAAAGCCGGGCTGGTCGGGCTGACCAAGACGATCGCGAAGGAATGGGGCCCGGCGTTTGGGGTGCGGGCTAACACGATTGCGTTTGGCTTTGTCAAGACCCGGTTGACGGCTGCGAAGGAGGACGGCGCGTTCATCACCACCCCCGACGGGACCAAGGTTGCGCTGGGGATCCCCGGGAAGCAGCTGGCTGGGCGCAAGGGGGACGAGAAGCAGGCGTATCCGGATATTCCGCTGGGGCGGCCGGCGAGTCCCGAGGAGGCGGCCAGGTCGATTCTGGGGGTTTGCAGTCCTTACTTTTCGTATGTGAGTGGTGAGACGATCCGGGTGACGGGAGGTCGTAATACGTGATGCTTGCTTGTGATGGTACAAATATACATACAATGTGATATCAAATCATACTATCGAGTTATATACAGAAGGGTGCCTTCCCTGCCTGCGCATGTCCAGACACTGCTTCGTGAGTAGCCATGCTGCAGTTCATGAGCGTCTTGACGTGGCAGACGCAGGAAATAGAGACAACACCAACGTGCTCCGTCTAGTTCCACGTCAGCCTATGTGTGCACAACAGTCACTTGATTGGCACGATGTGCTGACGGTGCTGACAAGGCACACTGGCCACAGCCTAGCTGATCAGCGGCGTCGGCGTGCTAGATATAGAGCGCAGAGCGTAGGACAGGAAGCCACGGCAGGATGTATACAGCAAAAGTGAACAGTGCAGGGAAAGTCGTCAAAAGTCTATTGTATAGTAATGATTCCAAAATTGACGAGCCTGATCGGCTGATGAGCTGTGCACAATCTTACACCACACGTAAAAATCAGAACTTATCCTCCAGTCCAGAGACATATCTCCAAACCTCCAAAGTCGCTCTAACCAAGCGAAACTAAACAAATCACCGTTTCCTCCCAATGCTTCCGTGGTATATCCATGCCACTGCCGTCGTCCATATTAGACTCCATGGCAGAAATGAACAAGGTAAAAAAAAATCAGTACAGGACATGCTCCTCTGGCCCGGGGTATTTCTTTTCTTTCAGAAAAAAGCTCTTCAACTCCAACAACACCAAACCAGTCACATAAATGAAACCCAATAGTCCGACGAGATATGTATCAAATAACCCAAAGATCCACCCGTAAATAGTAACATATTAATAAAACAAAGCGTAGTGTGCAGCGAAGAGATCCCGGAACTCAGCGGATTCCATGCTGACTGGCGGTAAACCAGATAATCCAGGCGGAGGTTACCCAGGAGCCCAGGGGAAAAATGATCCAATATTAAGGCGTATGTCCAGAGAAGGGGAGATGATGCAAAAAGAAGGCGAATGAAAACTGGGGCCGTAATAAACGTTGGGGGAATCCAGTTCCTGATGTCGAATAGATGGCGTAAATCGTGAAGTTTGCATTAATTTTGGTTTTGTCCACTTTCGTTCCGCCGTCATACCTTAGCAGACGCATAGTGCCTGATGATCCGGCTGACGGACAACGATGGCCTCCGAGATGTCCTTGCATGTTAGGGAGTCCATAGAAAGGTCGCCCTGACAGTTCGTCTCCGGCTCGTACTCCACGGAAGACATCGATGGAACGCTTTCCATGTCGGTAAATACTTCCGTGTAGCAAGAGCTATCGGATGCGACAGACTCGGAGTAATTCGAGTAGTGAGACGAGTCTGAAGAGGATGTCGATTGCTGCGTGTTGAATGTATGCACAGGGACAGACACAGGGACCTGTGGCCCACTGATGACGTCGTAGGGCAAGGGTCCATGGGGAGCAACCCAGGGGGTCACTGGGTTGAGAGTGAATTGAGGACAATCCAGGATTAACTGGCGAAGCTCCGGGATGGTAATTCTCTTCGAGGGATCACACTCGAAAATGCGGCTCAAGATGCAAACCAGGTCATCTGACAAGGGCAGAATGGACTTGAGGAAGAAAGGATCCTTGAGATAGGCCCGGAATGTGGAGTCCTCGATCGAGGCACGTTTCCATGGGTTGCGCCCGCAAGTGAGGTTAACCAGAATCACCCCCAGGCTCCACACATCATTGGGGGCCGAAGCATAGCAAGACAATGGTCGAGGATTCGGTTGTTGGCATTCTTCAGTTGGTAATAAGTCAGTCGAATGAACGCAATAAGGAAAGAGAAAGGTAAATTACCTGGAGACATGTAGAATGTGGAACCGCAACCAAAGTCCGAAGTGAAATAATCCGTGGTAGCAAGGCCAAAGTCGGCCAGTTTGACCGTCAAGCCCTGGTCGGTCACCAAGATGTTCTCCGGCTTGAGGTCCCGGTGGTAAATTCCTAATGAGTGGCAATACTGGACGGCATCCAGGATCTGGAGAAAGACGCGTTTGACCAAGGGATCATTGCCCACAAAGTTGCCCTTTTCGGTGATGCTGGAGAACAGGTCACCCTCCGGGCAGAATTCGATGACCACATAGGTACAGTCGACGGAATCCATTATACGAACCAGGGAAACCACATTGGGATGTTGGCTGGCCAGATGGTGGAGCTTGATCTCGCGCTGCTGGAACTTGAGCTGTCGGGCATCAAGTCCGACCTTGTTCAGTGCTTTGACGGCATACACCACATTGGTGTGGATGTCGACGGCCGTGTAGACCACGCCGTAAGCTCCAACTCCAAGAATGCTTGTCAGTTCCAGCCGGTTGGCCAGAAGATATCCCAAGCGGTCTTCCGGAGCATAAGCACGGGTAGTGGGAGGAGAAGGCGGAGGAGTTGGAAGCATTTGGGGATACATGCCGAAGGGATTTGGGGAGAGCATTAAGGGCAGATATGATATAGAGGGTAGAGACTGGAAAGGATGCAAAGGGATATGCAGCGTTCCAGCAGGGTAAGAATGTGTTGTAGTGAGTAGTCCGACTGATGGGAGCGTCCTTAATGGCAAAGATCCAAATCCAAACGGCCTGGTGGTAGCGGTGATATCCAAAAGGGAGAGTCGTTCAAGGCACAAGGGATATTTATTTTTCGACTCAGGTATCCATTGGAAGAAGCAGGATGATTCCAAGTCTAGTCCAAAATCCTAGGGAATGGTCTGTGGAGGAAGACGTTGTTGGTGGCTTGTTGTAGCGGTAGCAATAGACGTTGTTGTATGATGTGCTTGTTGGTGTTGCACTGCCTGAACCCACAGGGAGATTGGGGGTCCGATGGTGTTGGGGTTGTGGAAGAGATGTTGGAAGATTATATCAATGGTCGACTGTTAAGGAAGAGAGCTGTCTTGAAAGAAGAGAAGATATATCCAAAAATAATATAACAAAAACACACAAGGAAAAAGGAATAGCAGAAAGAGCCCACGCAAACTAGACGACGAAATGGAGATGATGAAGGGAAGTAAGTATAAGGGGAAGAGGAGATATAATTTATGATGATCTGAGAAGGCGATAGGGGACGGTGGAGAGGCGAAAATAATAATAATAATGGAAAAAGAAAAAAAGTAATAAATAATAATCCAGATGTTAAATAATGATCAATAATAATGCACTAGCATAGTAGCGCTAAACGTGTGGAAATAACACTTATTTAGATATGAGCACGGAGTGGACAGGCTCAGGCTCAGGCTCATGCTCAGGCTACAAGCTACAAGCCTCGTGGCCTGGACAATAGTTGGTCAGTTAGTCACAGATTAATAGTGGCCACCATCCTTCCCCCTAAGAGAAAAACGGAATCTTCGATCCAACAGCCAAAGCCCACCCGTAACCAACCACCGCCGCTAAGTTTAGATAACGACTAATAATAATCCTAGATAATCGCAGGCGATGTGTTAGCTGGACGAAATACGACAAGAGGAAAAGCCAAAATAAATCAACCAACGTAATGGGGCAGTTACATTAAGCGCAGGGCAAACAGTGAGCGCGGATTGGAAGAGGTGACTTGAGATGTGGGGATTCGCCCCCACCAGACTAAATATGTATGATGCCTACACTAGGCGGTTTAGGGTCCAGCTTCAAGAAGGCAAGGAAGGGTGGGAGCAATCAGGGAGCAATCACTGTCTACTACTAATCTTGGTGCTGAGCACGAAGTGGGTAGTCTAAACAGGTAACTATCAGCCCTCCGGCACTGGAACCGACCAGTCCGCGCCTCTCCTTCAGCATCTACGGAAGGCAAATCTGGTTCTTGGAATCATCCAGCCGAAAAAGGACTGTGCTTATCCTCGTTCAACTCTTAAGTCAGTCCAACGGCTGCATAGGTAAATTAGACTAGTAGTTTTCAAGTTTCAAGATCTAGGTTCTGAGGCACAAGTGCTACGAAACAATTGCTAGGGAGGCAAACACTTAGTGTCTCAAATGTGCGCAAGTGCGTGGAGAGACCCAGAGATCCCGCTCCGAACGATGATGTCCTCAGGCGTCACAAGGTCATAACTGATTCTCTCTGCCATATCGTTTACCTCTTATAAGATAGACTTGTAGGTAGGAGGTACCTACCTAGGTTGGGAGATGGCTGCACCTATCAAGTCCGAGAGTCTGCCATGATAGACTGAGACCAGAGAGGCTAGCCCCCGTCTGGATCCGAATGATGGCGACAACACCAGTTGCCGTGGCTGTACGGAGTACAAACTCCAGAACCACAGGAAGGACTCGATCTGCAGATCCTTGGGAAATCCTGATGGAGGCGGTGAAGGGTGTGACAGGTACACCTAAGCTGTGCAGATAGTTCCACCCATACCTGCAGTGGCGCAGTCCCATCATTGGCTGAATGCGGAACCCCATGGATGATGCATCCGCGCTGGGGTGTTGTGATTGGAGCATCTTCCGGCTGGATGGCGACGGTAATGGAACGCCCTGTTGCCTTGTCTTTTTTTGCAAGTCATACGCAGGAGTATTCCTTAGGCGCCACTGCTAGCCGGCTTTGCCTAAGAACAGAGCCTTGGCGATTGTCTCAACGATTAAGCCTCATGGATCAATAATGGTCATCGCATTGCCCTGGAGTCTGCAGTTTCGAATAGGAGATATTCGTAAGGTGAGAATGGGGTTGGCCCACTTTTTTCTGTTCATGATGATGAAGACCATGCCCATGGCCTTATTTGATGATCCTGCCGTTGTAGCTGCAGCCTAGATGGGTATGAGATAGTCTTTTTGTGCCTATACGTCAACTTGGATGTACTACTCGAGCACCACAGTCTGCGAAACTTGCGGTGTTTGCCAGCTCAATTCCCCACAGTCACGGTCGAGATTGAAGACTGGACTCCGTTGAGCTGGTCTAGAGTCACTTATGAGTTGCCAGTCAATCAAGATGGAAACTAGCGGAGTGAGAAAGAGGAGATACCAAATCAATACCGCCCAAACGCAAAACAAGTCAGATTCAGCCACTGGGGCCGCCTATGATCATCAGCTCTAAGCCAAGCAGG